CTATACTATTATTATTATCTATACTAGAAAAAGGTTGTATGGGAGCTCAACAGCCATCACTATCAAGCGCTAAAGAAGACCAGTGCTCATCTTTTTAAAGTATCAATGAGGAATACACACAAATGCAAAATATCTAAGCATGAAAATTGGAGGGAACAGAACAAAAAGTAAAATATGGACACTGACATGGACAATAGCTTACTGAAACCACAAAAATGAGACCGAGAATACAATGTACACTACACAGGTGCCGTTAACCACTTGTTAACCTTCACACAGTGACGTGTGTACTGTCCTCCAATGATCTACGTAAGTTCAAGTCACCAAATTCATGGCACATGTCACATCAACTATCTAGATGCGTGCCAAATTGTGATTTGTTCAGTCAAGTCATGGGAAGGTCAACAAACAATAGGCCCTAGTAGGCTACATAGGGGAAGCCTAGGAGATGACATTGGCGAAATAGGTATATTTCCTGTTGTGTGAGGGGCCAATGCGGTTCCCTGGTTCTTTGCATTGGTAGTTGTGATGGTGCTATACGCCACAAGAGAGTTTTGGCAGCTGTGTAAGTCACTATTGTGAGGCCAGCCAATCCCACAAGTTTGTAAATTTTTTTACGTATTATAATTATGAATTATGAGGAATAGGGAGAACAAAAAGGAGTAGAGAAAAAACAGTAAATAGAGAAAAAAATGGAATGCAATACAAAACAGACAAAAACACAAGACAAAACAAAGCAGAGCAGTTGGGAAGGGCTTGGAGGTTTGGGAGCATCGTATCCATCTTCACCACCACCACCAGTAGTAGTGCCTCCTCCAGGTGTCATCGCTTCGTACCCCCCTCCCCCTCCTTCTCCTCCTCCACCTTTCTGTGTTCCTGGTGTAGTCATGGTTTCATACGACTCTCCTCCGTTTGTATGCCTGTGCGTCGCAGCTCCTCTCTCCTGCACGCCTCTGATCAGTGCAACATTGGGTGGAAGGGAAGGAAGCCACAACAACAAGACGGCTATGAACTATGCACACATGTATCTACAGAAAGGAAGTGAGCTTTGATTAAATTCCAAAGCCAGCCCAGTTAGTCAGCAGAAATTGTGAAATTGTGGATTTAGCACAGGAAATCACAAAATACACAGAGTAGGAGTATTAGTTCCTCTATAGAAGTCATTGGCACCTACAGTTACAGCCCTTACATGGGAATATAGGCTTAAATAACCCTTCATGAGTGTACATGTAGCTCCCCACTTCATTCTCTCTTTGACTAACAACTTCAAGCACCCCTAAAACAGTCCTTTGAACCATCTTGTTCTCACTCTCTATATCTAAAATTACTCGATATCTGTGCCAGCACTTATGCACTTCTAAAACGCAAGTGGTGTAAGTGACAACAGCTTTGGAAGACTGAAAGCAAACAGGCATACACAAAATCAAAGAGGACAAAGTATGAAGCAAGATTTATACAAGTAAATAAAATATTCTGCGAATTATAAAAGTGTGGAATATAGGGATGCCATAAAAAGCAAGGAGACAAGACAGGGATGACCTGGACATGTGATGCAGTAGTACAATGGGATGGTTGTTACATCTTCAAACTGACATTTCTGCTCATGTAAATTTTACACCACACAAGCCCTATATTGTCGCCACTCTTACTCATGACATGAGTTTTGAATAGAGTAGTGTGAAGACTGGCAAACGAATTCTGTATGTAGGGAAAGCAGCATTGTAGTTGAGCGAACATTGAAGTAAACACAGTCACGATTCAAAACTGAGGACCTGTCAGAGAGGGCATTTGCTACCAGTCTTACGTGCATGGAAACGAGTCATAGCTGCACATCATACGATAGATATCACTCGTGCTTTGCGACAAAATAGGGCTTGTGTGGAGTAAAATTTACATGAGCAAGAAATGTCAGTTTGAAGTTGCTGAAATTTGGCAGTGTTCATTAACATAAAGAAGAAAAGAAAGGTGTTAGTACAGCCACCTGTGGTGGCCAATCCAACTGTACACCTGAGCAACTATGAGGTTGAAGGTAAGACTGGGAATTTGAGAGTATCTCGACTAACCAAACGATTCCAGGAACCGAAAGGATAGTCAGCAACAAAGAAGTGGTAACAAAGCAAAGAGCCATGAGTATCAGTCACTTACACCTCCAACATACTGCAATATGGTTAGCAGCACTGCAGCTCCTTTAGCAATGCTGACGGTAGGAGGTGATGGCCATTATGAAATGGTAAGTGTTGTTGTGTACAAACAGAGCCTTAGACACTATAAATATTATTGCAGAGTTGGGATGCTCTTGAAACAGTTGTTGACTAGTTGTTGACTACTATGTCCCAACTACAGTGAGTTATTAGTAGGAACTATCAGATGACATCTCTCTCTCTCTCCCTCAGATACAGCGCAGAAACTATGAATTAGAAGAAGATGGTTCATGTCCTTACATTGTGGGCTACAACGTGTACCTGAAAGTATAACCGGCCACTGTGTTTGTCTTTCAGGTTGCTGTTGAGGAAGAGTTGTTTGTGGAGCAGAAAAACCTTCTGGTCACCAGGCTTCACACTTGCCAGCATCTACAACCAGTTATCTATAACCACAAGTTAACACCTGCACTCAGTTATTTACATCTTAACTGTGGCTGATATAGTTATACCTCAAATAGTTCCCTGTTCTTAATTTAGTTATTTGGGGAATTAGTGGCCTGGGTGGACATCGGAAGGCCGTGAACCAAGCCTTCGTCAGACTCATTTATAGCCGGTGGCCTCTTCCGAGTAGCTAGCCCCGTGGGCTCCTGGTTCTACCACTATAGAGAGCCGTGCCCTCTTCTGGCATCGAGCGGGAGCCGATGTCTTCCCCCAAGTTCCCCCAAATTAAGGTGTTACTCATTAGCCTACCTCCTGGTGGTCAGGACTGGGCCTGTGCTGCCAGTGCAGGAGCCACCCTCATTAGTGCCTTCCGCGGGGAGCGGATGTACCGCGGGTAGGCTGCGCTCTTCCAGCGGCCCGCGGCCTGGATGAGCCAGCTAGGGAGACCCAAGGCCGCCGCATCCGTGGCTGCGCCGATACGTAGGCTGTGGGTGCCGTACCGCTTTGCCTCTTGCATTGACAGGCCCGTGGCCCGAAGGAGTCTCCGGATCACATTGGTGAGGCGTGATCTGGTGAGGAACTTTCCTGAGCTGAGAGTGAAGAGGGGTCTGGGAGGGTCGGTGGTGGGCATGGGCCAAGAACCGCCTCATAGCTTTGACTGGGCAGGTGAGTCTGTTGCTGCCACTGGTAGAGTGCAGGTGGCTCTAAATCGGTCTGACTTGGAGGCTTTGATGGTTACAGAGAGGTAACCTCTTTGCAGGTGTAGGTCTCGCCTGAGTAGGTGTCTGGTGGGAGAGTATTGAGTAGAAGTAGGTGATGTAAACTCTGACACCCGCAGGAAGGCGTGGAACCCCAGGGAAAGGGCCGCCCTTACAGCTATCTTATCAACTGAAGGTAGGTGTAAATGTCCCAGGTGTTGTTGTAGCTCAGCCAGCTTGGCTGCTGACAGTGGTAGTCTCACTCTGCCCTTGGTTCCCTGGTGCCGTTTTATACCTTTGCAAAGGTACGCCAGAAGGGGCCTCTGCACAAGAGGATCTGTGTGACCCAATTGTAGGTGGTGGTGCCTGATGGCTGCCAGGTACACTAGGATGGTAGCGTGTGAGAGGGTCTTGTATGCGTGTGTGCAGAAGTATCGGAGTGTGAGCTCTGAAGCCGGCCATGGGGAGAGATCATAGAGCCTGCAAAACTGCTGGTAATGGTGGACACCCGCCTGGTACGTCCGCCTGGTTGAGGGAGCGATACCCAGTGTCTGGAGGTGTTCCAGTTTCCGAGTTAGCAGTCTATCTTGAAGGCATGGGTGGGGGTGGGGTCTGCGTCTGCATCTGGGGCCAGGCGTCGAAACCTGTGGAACTGGGACCGAGAGAGAGAGTCAGCAATACCGTTGTCAACACCCTGAATGTGCTGCAAGAGAATGGTGAAATTATGTGTGGCAGCTTTCAGAAAAAGCGTTCTGACCAGTGCCATGAGATCGCTGTTCTTGGAGGTGCCCGCCTGCCATATGTGGACAACTGCCTGGTTGTCGCAGTGGACGAGGAGCCGTTTCCTTGCCCATTGTTCACCCCAGGTGTGGGCTGCTGCGACGACTGTGTATAGCTCTCTCCACTGAATGTCTTGGCTGTGCTGCTTGGTTGACCAAGTCCCTTGCAGCCAATGGCCTGCCCAGTAAGCTCCAAAGCCATGGTCGCTGGCGTCAGTGAAGAGTTGGAATGCTGGAGATGGGGTCCAGATAGGATCGAGGAAGAAAGCCTTACCGTTCCAGTTTGAAGCAAATGTAAGCCACCAACGAATGTCAGCTTGGCTAGCCCGAGAGAGGCGGAGGTGGTGGTGGAGACACCGAGCACGAGTACTGGCATCGATGAGTCTACGTGTGAAGAGCCTACCCGCTGGAATTACTTTCGCTGCAAAGGCTAGCTTGCCGATCAGTGAGAGCAGGTTCCGCTTTGTGCATTTCTCCATAGTGGAAAAAGTGTGCAGCTCGTGCATTAAGGCTCTGAGTTTGTCTTGGGGGAGGCTGATTGTTTGTGTGATGGTGTCTACCTCAACGCCCAGAAAGGTGATTCTTGTCGTAGGTGGTGTCCGTTTTTCGTCCTTGGTGGCCACCCCAAGTAGGCTACACAAGGACTCAATCCCAGTGAAGGTGGTAGAGCAAGTGGTGGTTTCTGCTGGTCCAGCTATTAGGAAGTCATCTAAGTAATGTATTATGTTAGGATTGTGCAATTGGTGTCTGAAAATGTATTCTAGTGCAGTGGCGAAGGTGTCAAAAAGGAAGGGGGAGGAGCGGAGCCCGAATGGGAGGCATTTGTCGTAGTAAAATTGATCTCTCCACTGGAGGCCTAATAGGTGCCAGTCAGCTTGCCTAACTGGGCATTGTCGAAACGCTCGCTTAAGGTCAATCTTAGCCAAAAGAGTGCCGCGACCAAGCTGTTGAGAAATTCGAACTGCATCGTCAATTGTAGTGTAGCTCAGAGTAACTGCCTCCGGGTCGATGAAGTCATTGATGCTAAGGCCATCAGGGGCCGAGAGGTGCGTAATCACACGCCAAGTCCCGTCCTGTTTGGGTACCACGCCGAGTCCAGCGCAGTGGAAAGGAGAGAAGGGGGGACGTGGAAAGGGGCCCGCCATCCGTCCAGCACTACACTCCTTGTGGAGGTAGTCATCGATCGCCTTGGGGTGAACCCGGGCTGATGACAGGTTTGGTGCTCGCACGTCTAGGTGTGGCCCCTGATAGCCTATGTCAAAGCCGTGAGTGATGTGAGAAAGGAGAGTATCTACGTACTGCCTGTTTGGGTGATGGTGCAGGTATCGCGCAAGAAGGAGCGGTCGTACGGAAGTGGAGGCTGGGTCACTGGGGGCGGTGCTCGGGGCAGGCCCTCCGTGAGTGTTGGCCACCACAGTAAGTGCACGTGTGGAGGTAGGGGCAGCGGCTGCCACGAAAACAACGACCCTTATCATTGAAGATGTAGCATGGCTGCTGCTGCTGGTCCCCAGTGCCGTTGGTGGGTGGTCGGGCAGGCACGTCTGGTTTAGGACCGGTTGAAGAGGGGATGGAACGTCGTCGCTGAGGGCAAGCGACATACAGGTGGGTTAGGCTCCCACAAGCGAAACAGGCCATGGGGGTGGGTGTGGGGAGAGTGGATCTTAGGCCGTCCGCAGAGAAGCACGATGCCCACAGTTCCGTGTCTACGGCTTCGAAGTGCCAGCTCTCGTTCGCCGCTAGCTTGAGTCGGAACTCAGTGTCGTACCGCAGCCATGCCGCAGGCTGAAAAGATCTGCTCTTCAGAGTAATGAAGTGCTGGTACGAAAAGAGGCGGGGGGCTAGGTGCGGGTAGAAAGAAGTAAGTACAGCAGCGAGTACGCTCCAGGCTTCGGTCCAGCTCTGCAGGTCAGTGACTGCAGCCGGCGAGCGAGCCGGGTCTGCCGACTCGTGGGTAGAACGTCTGCGCGTGTGACCACGGGTCTGCGCGCTGGTCTTCGTGAGGTTGGCGTGCAATAGTGAATGTAGCTCTACAAACTCACCACGTCTGATCCTGCGTTTTAGCCTCCGTGGGATGGGTGGTAGGTTCCCTCCCTGAGGGCGGTCAGAGCGATGGCGGTGGCAGCGGGGATCACGGCCGCTGCGCCTCTTGCTGCTGGAAGTACGACCGCTCCGCGAGCGGGACCGCGAAACCGATATCGCCGCGCGATGTCGGCCTTGCCGTCCGCGACGGTTATGCCGGCGGTGACGGTGGCTGCGCCGTCTATGCGGGCTTTCGCTCCTTGAGCTAGAACGGCTGGAGTGGCTGCTAGCGGATGACGGGGCAGAGCCGTCGGATGAGGTGGTATCTGACCGTCGCCGAACCGGGGGAGGTGGAGAGCGGGACAGTCTCCGTGAGCTGTGGTGTGAGGGCCGGCCGTCGCGCTCGCGCGACCGTCGTTTAGAGCGATGTCCTTGCCGGCGGCTGCGGTGTGAGCGGTTGGGTTCGTTCTCGCTTGCAGGGAATGGGGAGCTCGAAGAACGGTGGTGGCCCGAGGCCATCGCAGACTCTTGATCCGAGGCCGTCGCAGACTCTTGGCCAGAGGTTGTCGCAGAGTCCCGGCCCGAGGCCGTCTCCAACGCTGACGCCGTCGCCAGCGACTGCAGGTGGACGTGGAGGCGTTTCGCAAGCGTCTGTTTCGTGCCCGTGGCCGATAGAGATGCTGCCTGCAACCGTTCCTTGATCTCTGCAATCGGGAGCTTTCCTATCCGCCAGAGAGCGGGTGGACGCCTCGAAGCCATTGTAGCTTGAAGTTAGCTAGTAGAAGTTTGGGTAGCCTTAGCTTGAAGTTTGCCTAGTGTGCTCCCGTGTGTGCGCAGACTGGTCTTTTCAGTAGAGCTTACCCCTTTTCAGGCTGCAGCACCTGAGCCCCACCCTTCGTTGTGCATGTGTTATGTAAACATAATATTATTGACAGCTCATTCTCCATGCCTCTTGTAGTCTTTATCCTCCCTATGTCTCATCCAGTGTTTAACCCTCTATATCTCCCAAACCCTCAAGTCCTGTCAGTCTTTAACCCTTTATTTCTTCCCAGAGTGTAACCTTCTATGTCTCTCCCAGTCTTTAACCTTATAATATCCCCTCTCTATTTAACCCTCTAGGTCACATCAGCCTTTAACCCTCTATGTGTCTCTCAGTCTTTAACCACTCGACTCTTCTGTAGCTAGCTTCATACCTTTCACAGAATTGGTGGCTCACTGGGTTCAGGTGAGTTTGGAGTGGTAAGCAAAGGGAGGTGGATGGCTGTGGTTCGTGGACCAGTGGAAGTAGCCATCAAGATCCTCAGACCAGCAGCCAATGAGGACACTCAAGTCAAGTTCCCACAGGAGGCAGCCATCATTGGCCAGTTCAAACACCCAAACATTGTAAAGCTACATGGAATAGTCACTGTTGAAGAGCCGGTTTGACATTATAATATTCACGTGTTAAGACAAATTTTTGAAACTCTACAGATGATGATTGTAATGGAGTTTATGGCAAACGGAGATTTGAAAAACTACTTCATTACATTGATAACTGAGTAATTTTTTTGCGCATCCTTAGTGATAATAATTTTCAGCTATTCCTCAGTCCTGATCCCCCAGAGCAAGATGAACTTTCCCAGTTGTGTCTCACGTTCTGCCGACAGATTGCCTCTGGTATGAGCTACCTTGCAGACAAGGCCTTTGCCCACAGAGATGTTGCAGCTCGTAACATCCTCGTTTCGAAGGACAAAGTGTGGAAGGTATCAGTCATGAATACACTGCTGTATCTTCTTAAGAGTAAACTGTAGGTAGCAGACTTTGGGATGTCTCGTGCATTAAATTATTCAGACTACTATGTCTCTCATGGAGGAATGATCCCAGTTAAATGGACTGCCCCTGAGGTATTTATCCCAATGTGTCATTGACAAAAGCTATACTGAAACATTTGCAGGCCATTCACTACAAGAAGTACACAACAGCCAGTGATGTGTGGAGTTTTGGGTGTGTAATGTATGAGATATGGAGTGTTGGGCACAAGCCATTTGAAGGTTTCACCAATGTTGAGGTTATGTACAAGATATTAATTACCTAATATCTATATAATTGCAATGGAGATGGTGACAAGGGGCTACCGACTTCAACCGCCTCCTGGTTGTCCTAGACGCATTTATTCAATGATGATAAGCTGCTGGTAATAGTATAAAATTCCCGCTTACTTTTGCATTCAGACCTCAGTATTGCTGTAAACTTTTCTATGGAGTTATCCTATTTAGCTCTTCCTCCCTGGGAGACATGGAGACTTGGGTTCTATATATTTCTCTCTGTGTTGCAGGCATCTAGAGAGGCTTGATTGTCCATCATTTCCCTCTGTCTGCCAGACTCTGGCAGAGGAGGCCAACTCACTGCTGCAGTGGAGAGAGGAGGACAGCCTGTGCCATCCTCATGCCTGTCTCCTCGGAGCTCCTCTAGAGACTGGGGCTTCCCTCTATCCTGACCTCCAGAACGCTTACCAAGGCAGACAATGAACAACATGAACCATTCAGAGGTTTTTTTGCCGTTATTCTCATATCCAAATGGTAGCTAACCAGAATGACTCCCATGTTTTGCCGAAGTTTAGTAGCTATATCGAAGTGGAATTTATGCGGCGTAGTAGCCCTGTAAAATGCTTCCCCTGTCAGCCCAAGAAGTTAGTCCATGAGAGTGAGTGTCCAAGGAACAATAAAACCCCGTGTGTAGAGTAAACCACCGATAATCGGACGCCATATATTCTCGGACGCATTTGTGAAGTCTGTGCAAGACTAGATTGGCTACTGTGTTTACCAATATGTAGTTCTTGGTCATAAACTGTTGTTTAGAAATATTCGCTCTTATCCGAGCTTTACCGTGGGAATGACGTTGCCGTAAAGTTACGATTCGGGCACAGCAAAGATCGGACAAGCGCATCAATGGTAGGACAGTCTCCCAAAACGGGAACAGTATGAATGATCCAAGCGAGTGTATGCTCGATTGATAGCTGTACCTTTTGGCTATGCAGCGACCAACAAATGGCCCTTCGCTCTTTTTGCTCACCAAAGCGCAAATAGGCGGGGTCGCGTAAGCCACGTTTTACGCGAAAAGCAGTTCGGGGCTTGTTTCTTCTAACGCACGTGCCGGATGAAGCGCTAAATTTTTATTCTCGTTCTTCTTGCCTTATACTAGATGCTTGCACCACGATTTCCGTTTTTGTGAGATCTAACTTTTTATTGGTAATTACAAAAAATATTATTGGTAATTACAAAAAAATTAGCTTCATCCAGCGGGTGTGTTAGAAGAAACAAGCTGAAAACTGCTTTTCGCGTAAAACGTGGCTTACGCGACCCCGCTTATTTGCGCTTTCGTGAGCAAAAAGAACGAAGACAAAAAAGGGCCATATGAGATACACTGCAGAACGAAACTTTGAATTCTTATTATTTCACAGTGTTGTGCTGTGCTGAAGAGTTCCACAACCTTCAAAATGAATGTTATAAATTCTGAGATTTGTCACAGATGCAAACGCTAAGCCAGATCCACTGTCATCAGAGTTTGCTGGATGGCTGCATTTTATGATGGAAACAGCATTTTCAGCACTTCGTATTATGAGGCCTTCCACATTAGCCACAGTAAGCGTTTGGTCAAGTTGGTGATCTCCTCCAAGGAGAACGATACTAGTGCCATTGAGGGTGAGAGGATTTTTAAGGACATAGCTCCAAAGATGCACCCCTGACACTTGGAGTCCTCCAAGCTGTAACTAGTTGCAGTGAGCAGAGCAAGCACGACAGGCAAAATATATTTTCCATTCTGTATTATAACCCGAGCAACCTTTTCCACGTATGTAGAGCCGCTCTTTTAAACTTAACTGTAGTGAAAGGTGGTGTAACAATAGTGATCTATGCACACAGTGCAGGAACTAGCATAACCCCATTCCGCTATTAGTTTGTAGAGAGAACCTGTCATCATTTATATAATCTGAACAATAACCAATATAATGTGCCCTAGCTGTGTTCATATGTCTGCAGTTCTGCAACCATTACCAATTTCCCTGTTCCCTGGTGCAGTAGAACTCTTCTCCGCACCGCCGTGGCCTTGCATTACATGAGGGTAGGTGTTTGGGTGTAGGCTACACCCCCGCACAAGATTAGATTCATACTACATCATGTGATACCTATTATTGCACACAGCAATATTATAATGGATATTAGCAAAACTAATCCCTGCTTCTTGCTCCCATTATTAATGCTGGACTGGCTGAAAAAGCATTATGTTCAGATATAGGAAAAATCAGGTCAACTTGTGGGATTTGGAACTACAACAGGTCTGTTTACGACACCGAAAAGTGGAGATAATTGAAACTTCATTGGTCCATTCTGTATCTCTGCTTCTGCTGATTGTTTTTTGCACGTTTGTGATTACTATCAAAACTGTAGTACATTATTTCGTTAGCCAGTAGTATCAATAGAAATAACAGTGGGTCCTACTTCATTGGAATTTTGGCTTTTTTAACTTGCTCGCAAACAACACACGATGTATTATCACGTATAACGTGACAGTTGCAGAAGAATTAATTTGTTTGGATGTATAGTGTGCTGTGTCCTGGAACAATGTCCCTATATTCCTCTATTCTTATTATGGGGAAAATTGTGTGGAAGAAATGACTAGATGGGCATGCTCCACTAATAAACAGAGCCGTCCGTAACTGGGCAAGAGATCCCTAACCATAATTATCCTTACATCTTTGTCCACAAAATATATTGTTTTTCATCTGTGGAAAGAAGCCATTTCTGCTTTTTTACTTCATTGCATCACCATTGGTTTGAACTCACAGTGTTCCCTTGTTGTAGATGAAAAAAGCATTGTGAAAATTCTGTTATAGCTAAGCTAACAACCCAAAGTGTGGACAGATGGATAGACAATCATAGACTTTCCTGCTCATGCACGCTGTGGTTAAAAAAAGTGGAACAAGGAGACTCCTGCACGTGATTCATAACCCACCCCTAAATGTCTGTGATCCCAAAGTGGTTACTTTACTGCTTATAGTAAATTAATTCAACCAGAAGAAGATGATGGGCTTATAATTACAAAACGAAGATTAGGGTGCTCATATACAATCATGATCAACAAAATGAAGATGAGGAATGGGGTTACGAACGACTTTTGGTCTCAATGTAGGAACTTTATGGTTCTATTTTTCACGATGTCAGGCCATTCACCTTCATTTTGATTTTCCACTTGTTACAAATAGCTTCAAGAGACTCCAGAAATCCGTTACATTGAGGAGGAGACGGTAGCTCAAGCAGCTGAGATCCCCATCTCCTACCATCTTGACCGAGTTGATCAGCGAGAGCTCCCACTTGATGGAAGCTACAACCCCATTGGTGATGGAGAAGGAGTTGATATCTACGTATTGGACTCAGGGGTCTCCTACGAACATGAGGAGTTTGAAAACCGTGCAAAATTTGCTCAATATGATCCAATGGATAGGCATTTAGGAGAGAATAGGACAGGCCGGGACTGTTACGGTCATGGCACCCACGTGGCTAGCAATGCTGCAGGGAGGACATATGGTACTGCAAAGAAAGCAACCGTGTACAGTGTCCGTGTGCTGGACTGTGAGGGCTTTGGCACGTGGAGTGTCATACTGGAAGGACTGGACTATGCCATGAGGGTCATTCCCACCCGTGGTCGTCCTGCAGTGGTGTCAATATCCGTGACTGGTGGCTACACTCAGTCAGTCAACGATGCCATTCAGGCTCTCTACAAGTCTGGAGTCCCAGTTGTGGTGGCTGCTGGGAATTATGCTTCAGATGCCTGCCCGTGGTCTCCTGCTAGTGCTCCCAATGCCATAACAGTTGCTGGTAGTGCCGAGGGTGACAGACTCTACTCTAAAACAAACTATGGTTCCTGTATTGACATCTTTGCTCCTGGTCATAATGTTCAGGGAGCCAACCATATGTGCAGTGATTGCTATCAATTTAAGAGTGGAACTTCATTTGCTGCTCCACTAGTGAGTGGAGCTGTTGCAATATTATTGCTACAGAGACAGCCAAGACTGACACCTGCTCAGATTCTCTACCAGTTGATCTCTCTCTCTTAACAAACAACACCCTCGATACTGATTCAATTCCTGCAAACTTTACCTCCTCCACTCCAAACCGGCTTCTCTTCATTCCTGGTGAGTTTTTCTCACCCTATGCATCTTAGATTACAAATGCTTCCATCCAATGCAAGAATCTTGTGGTGGAGAACTAAGTATTGGATTGCAGTCTGTCATCACAATTGAGTCTCCAAACTACCCATTGAATTACTTCAAGAAGACTGTCTGCAAGTGGTTGATCACTGGCCCACTAAACACCTATGTCCGGATCTCATTCACCAATTTTTCAACTGAGCCTTTCTATGATAGAATAGAACTGTACCAAGGGACATCGTGTTACCCAAACATTACACAACTGGCCACTCTTAGTGGAAAGAGGGATGAACTTGCGTTTACACAGTGTGATAGTCTCTCAAACTCTCTTTTAGTGGAGTTCAAGACAGATAGCCTTATCAGTGATACTGGGTTTAGAGCAAACATCTTAGCCGCTCAGACACGACAGAAACAAAGTAAGTTAATAAAAGTGATTGTGAGTAAGATCGACAGAGTCATTGAACTGTACATTGCAACCTTTTTGTTGTTTAATCCGCAGCTGTGGTAGTTTGACTGGAAGAGTCAACCTACCTGGTGAATGAAGATGAAGGAAGGGTCAAAGTATGTGTAGCAATATCAAATCTACATACCTGTTGTCCTGTGACACACAACTTCTCAGTGACACTACAACACACGCCTGGAAGTGCAAGTAAGACATCCTCAACCACAGGATACATAGGTCTTCTGTAGCTTCATGGCTTAATTCTTATCTTGTTTCAGCTGTTGGAAGTGATTATATCTTTGATGATAGAAGAAGCACACTTCAATTTGGTACATGTGATAAAAGAAAGTGTTTCTTTATCGGAACGGTGAATAACCACCAGGTTGAGACTGATGAGTCCTTTACACTTACTCTAGTAAACAATAGCTTTGAAAGTGATATTGAACTAGCCATGATGTCTGCCAATGTTACAATATTCGATGATGATGGTGAGTTCACATAAATTTTTTCCCAGAGAAGTTAGCTGAGAAAACAGTTTTCAGATTTTGTTTGATTTCACAGAATAATCTGCATTATCATGTCAGAGTTCAGAGCTTGTAAGTGGTCTCAGATATGCAATTTCCTGGCATGTACTCCATCCATTCCTAGGGGCTCTTGTTTAGACAAGAAATAGGTGAAATATTCACGGGTCTCTTCAATTAATCAGCACCTTTTACTTATAGGTCACAAATTGTCACCCAAATTCTCAGGGTTCACAAATTGTACAGTCCTTGTTAGCAAACTCAACTAAGTTTCTTCATTCGCCTAGATGGCCCTTCTGTTTCTCAGATAATTGGAAGTGCTGATTTTTGTATGGATTTTATTAAAAGATACTGTTTAATATGCTCTGTAGTTGCTTCCGTGGGCCTAGAACATACTGACTACTCAGTAGAAGAAGGTCAGGAAGTTAGAGTTTGTGCTCGATTGATGACCTCGAGAGGCAGTTGCACCGTGTCGTTTCCCTTCTCAGTTGTTGTGAACACGGAATATGGAAGTGGTATGAAATAGCAAACTATAGCTACTCACCATGTCCGGTGCACCATTCATGTCCTGGGGACTGTATTTTCACTGAAAAAAGTAACGGAGGTTGCAATTTTAACAGAAATTTCTAATTTTATCCACCACTATTCATTTACTGTCACACATACACCCTTCGACTCATCCATAAAAATTAAAAAGTAACATTATAATAGTGTCCTTAAGCTATCGCTTCAGATGTTTTGTCGTCATTCACATTACATCAGTGCACCAAGTTTCATTGTGAGAGGACCCATCATAAGCAAGTTATAAGCACTGACACCATTTAAATGTCTTTCTTGCCTGTTGCTGTGTACAACCTTGTAATTTCTGTTTCGATGAACTCTCATCATGGTGACCCAGTGTACCAAGTTTCATTGTTAGAGGACCAACCACAAGTAATTTATAGGCACAAACACCATTTGCAGGTTTTTATTGCCTGAGGCTGTTTGTTGTTGTTGTGTAATTTTCTGTTTCGATAACATCATGGTACATCAGTGTACCAAGTTTCATTGTTAGAGGACCCACAATAAGCAAGTTATAGGAACAAACAGAACGGTCGCCTCGACCGTTGGAGCGAAGGACGACTCATTTACAAGTATTTATTGCCTGAGGCTGTTTGTTGCTGTTTACAAACTGGTAATGTTTACATTATAGATATTAATGATGGGTTGCATGTGTGTACAAAGTCTTATTATCATTCTGCTGGGTATTTGCTCTATCAAGTTAGCACACTTTATTGGTGTAAATCATGATGTATTTATTGGGCTATTTTTTGCTCTTGCATGCCGGGTCACGGATTCCAATCTTTGTGCAAAGTTTCATATCCATATCTTAAGTGGTTTTGAGATACACATGTCTAAACTGAACAACAACAGCAACAACAACAAGAAGAAGAAGAATTTTGAAAACTGCGATTTGGATACATGCTCTTTGTGATGATACGGATCAGTCTGACGTGTCAAAAGTTGGACCTTATTGAAACTGAAAGTGAAACATAAAATCTCAAATGTATGGGCATAATGCAGGATGACCTGTGTCATCCCTATAATTAGAGAGTCGGTAGACTCTCTATATAGGGTTGACGCGGGTGAAATCTCACGTGATCCGCGTACAGAGCAACTAAAAACTCGGTGAGAATCACTCCCTATCCCTTCAAAACACACTAGCAATAGTCTACGGGCCCATATCTACCTATACATGCGCACCTTCAGTCGTCCACGCGATAATTCGCTCATATATACGCGAATTCACGATTTTCGTGTCATCTCCTTCATCTTCTTGTTTAGACCCGCTTTCTTCTTACTGGAACAAGTTGAAGCACTGATTTTTTCACTGAACGTCTCCAATTTCGCCGGAGGTGTGCACGGACATCATGCGATCGTTTCTTTCTTGCTGCTAGTCACTACGGTAGATCATGGAGCTCTTTTATGGTCGACACTGAACAACGCCATTTGCTGCTAACACAGCATTCAGTGAGCCGCGCGCATGCGCCAGGCAGGGCCGTTGTCCAATGCGCTTGTGAGCGTATTACCAGGCGAGTTGGCAGACCTGCAGAGGAACTCTCAGCCTCCCAGTACCTTCTGTAAGTAAGTGTGCACATTTTCAACTGGCTAGCTTGCTGTTGATTTGCACGAAGAGCAACTTTCTAGAGTCTGCGCGGTGTTACGCGAACCTTGCGGGGGGGGGCTCAGTCAAATGGGCCTTCATTAGTTTGCCCCAGGTTGTAGCCTGATTACCAAAGCCTGCCAATGAAACCACAACCATGTGCAATAATCTAATTACATCCTTGTTGAAGACAATACATGCGGTATCTAGCCCCTGCTTCAGGCACTAGCAGCCCCATTAGCTACTACTTTCAACACACAATTTGTCTATAGTAGCCCATGGAACATCAGAGTGACTGTAACAATAAATGCAGTGTTGTCATAAGCTGTTAAAAATAGTGGAAATAAGTGGAAAAATCATTTGAAAGGGGGATATAGGGATGGCTTGAAGCACCAAAAAAAGAAGAAACAAGGGGTCATAATCATTACACAGCAAAGTTGCACAAAGCTACATAACGCCATCCCTATAATTATCTTTGTTTCATTGTTTATAAGCAAAGTTTAATATTGAATAAAGATATAGGGATGGTTTCATGTATATAGCTTTGTGCAACTTTGCTGTGTAATGACCCCTTGTTTCTTCCTTTTTGGTGCTTCAAGCCTTCCCTATATCCCCCTTTCGTTTTGAAGAAATGATTTTGTATACTAAGTACTACCGTACTTAGTGATAGCCAACTTTCTTTCTCTCTCACTCTTTCTGTCTAGTACCTGGGGAGGACTATGAGCCTCTCAGAGAGAAACTCTACTTCGCACCATGTCAGACAAGGTCATGCATCAATATAAGCACTATAGAAGATGGCTGTGTTGTGGAGCTAGTAAAGAATTTCACAGTTATGCTGCGAAGAGATGCATTTGACAGCATAAAGATAGAGCCATCAGAAGCAAGCATTGGAATCAGTGACAGTGATGGTGAATTATAACCCTTGCCCTATGTCCGGTTACTTTAACCTAATCTTCCTCTTTGACAGTGTGCGAATCGTGGGAGGCAGGAGAGATGTGCCCGTAAATGAGGGTGATGGTTATGCGAGGTTATTCTTGGCAGTCACTGATGAATTTGGCTCAATGACTTGCAGCGTCCTGTTTGACTTTACTGTTGCTGTGTACACCGAAGCAGGAACTGCCAGTACGAAATACTGTTCATTCTTATAGTGTGATGTTTAAAAGAGTCTTGTTTCCCTCCACAGCGACTAACAAAGACTACACCCATGTCAGCAGAAATATTCCGTTCAGTAGAGATCTTTCAGAGCTCGTAAAGATAAGAATCATTGATGACGACACAGTGGACCATTACAGGGAGGAGACCTTTAATGTCATGTTGCAAAACGCACCAGGCGTGACGCAACGAATCAAGCCGGTCAGGACACCTGTAACAGTCGTCATAAGAGATAACGACGGTATTGGAAAACATCATGCTACCCTCCTCAGCTCTATGATGCTGCATAACTTTCGAGCTCTGTGGTCTTCCACGCTCTCCTTGTCTCATTAGAATAGTATACTTCTGGTCCCTCCACTGAAACTAGTACATAAGGCACACATGCCTTATTTGTGAGCGACACAAGCCTGTATGTACCTATTAGTCATATGTGACAGATGTCGGTTCCTCCACACAAATATTTTGTTTACCTTTGTATTGTGGTGTGTAGTTTCAAGTCCTCTGTCTGGAGCTGTAGGTTCACGTCCCACCCAGGGCAGCATTTGGATAAAGGTGGTTTCCTGGATTTAGTTTTTTCCTTGCCTTTTGTGGTCATAGGTTCCAGTCCCACTCAGGGGAGCTTCTTTCTTGATTGGGTTTAACCACCTCCCTAATGTAGTATTGTTTCCAAGGAATTGTATATACATAATCCTGAGGAGAATTGTATTCCTTTTCTCTTCAGTTGCAACATTTGGTCTAGAGAGAGCTTCCTGCAAGGTTGATGAAGCTGTAACACTCAGAGTGTGTGTGGTTCTCCATGACATGAAACGAGACTGCCCTGTGGAGTTTCCATTCTACCTCAGACTTGAAGCAAGGGGTAAGGAAGGACTCTTGTGTAGCTTTTCTGCAGTGCTAACGACACACTCTCTCTGTTTACACAGCTGTGACAGCTACATCAGGGGACCACGATGCCAATGTGACCGACATCACAATTGGAGAGTGTAGTCGGTCACAGTGTACAAATATTACAGTGTATGACGACAGTTTCCTGGAACTTGACGAAACATTCTACATTTCCCTGCTGAAGCTGCCCAACCACGACGGAAGAATTCTGCTTGATGTTGTGGAGAAGACAGTCACTATAGAAGATAATGACAGTAAGACACTGGTTTTCTTTCTGGTTTTGTAACTCACGCAACTGTTTCTTGCTCCAGCCATCAGTATTATTTTCGACGATCTGACAATAGCGGTGGAGGGCTTTCCAGTACTAGTTTGTCTGTTGATTGAGGGAAGGCCCAGCAGCGATTGTCCTTCGTCGTTTGAAATACGAGTTCTGCTTCGGACTGAGGATGGAACTGCAAGTAAGTGCACACTTTGGGATGTGCGGCGTGTTTCACTTCATCTTTTCTCGATAGCTTCCAGAGGGCATTTCCCTGACTACGTCCGACAATCAAGAAGACTCACAATACCTGTTTGTGCAAAGGACTTCTGCTATAACATTTCAACGATTGATAATTTATCAGTGGAGTACCATGAATATTTCAGCGTAGCTTTGACACGTGGTTCCAATGGGGATTTGAATGAGAGAATCAATATTCCTACACCCACTCAACGATGCGAAATTCTTGACGATAATAGTAAGTTGTGTAATTCCTATTGAAAAGTAAGTTCTCTGACTACAGTTTGTATGTTGAGTACTATAGTGAACTGGGATCTATCACTAAGTACGGTAGTACTTAGTATAATTATAGTGATAGGCATGGTACCTAGCATCATAGATGTATTAGGCTATGATAGGGAGTTTTGTTCATCATCTTCTTCTTAATAAGTATTACCTACCAAGTTTTAGCTTCAGTGCTCAGTCGCACGTGGAGAAACAGCCGGTAGATAAACAACCGTTTGGTCTCTCTTTGGTTTACAGGCGCAGTAAGCAGATATGCTCGAGAAATAAACCAATTCTTAAAAAGTTTAATATATAGCAGCTGGGCAGTTTGTAGCCTTTCTCTACTAGCTTCTTCCCATTAGCGTTATGATGCTCTTTAGGCAATAGAAAACTGGCTGCGCATTTCTCCACACGTTTAGATGCTAGGTGCAAGCTCCTTGGACATGTATTTCTGGAGTAGTAAAACGTAAAAAGTTCCTCACGTAATAAAAAGGATACACCCTTCAACTAACCTGAGTGATTCTTTTGATCCAGTTGCTGTTGTGGAAATATCGGCCCTTACAAATGTGCTGGAGAATAGGCGGTTACTCAATGTATGTCTCAATGTGAGGACACCAGGACCCAGACTGTCTTGTCCGGTAGCTTTCGAGTTCACTGTCTCCATCGTTAAAGAAGATGTCACTACAGGTTTGTTATCATTTAAGAAGGGGTGTTATGTGTATTTCAGGGGTTAAATCACATGCCTTGGGGGGGGGAATAATGACCTTATAAGAGGGGGAGCCTAATTTCAGGGGTGTCCTTAAAGAGGTGTCCTCATTTTGAGGGTGTTCTTAAGGAGGGATTCCATTCCACTGTATTTTCACCAACCACACAGCCATCCATTGGACAAGGGGGACTTTGGGGAAACTGATAGTGTCTTTACTCAGATGTGTCCATTTTCTGAGGCAGAATACAGTGTCGTTTGAGAGGTATCTTTTTTCAGATGCCGCTGACTATGATAGAAGCAGAGTTGACGTGACATTCAGACCCTGTGTTGCTCGGCAGTGTATAGCTGTACCCATAATAGATGACTGCAGTCTGGAAAGAGACGAAAATTTTACTATTTCGTTGGAACCCGAAGTGGGCCTTACAAATAGGATCATTACAAACGATAGTCTCACAGTCACTATTGAAGACGATGACAGTAAGTTATTGTCCTATAGTAGAAAATTGAGTTTAATGCCCCTTTATTCAGACACTTTCATTGAGATGGAGCATGCCGTGTATAGAGTTTTCGAGAATGCAAGTCAGATTGAAGTTTGTTCTGTTATAAGACCAGCTGGCTGCAAACCGTCAATAGACTTCCCAGTGCGTATTTACACTCGTCCCGATAGCGCAGGTACGTGCACCACTTTCATCATATACCGCAATGTTTTATTAAAAATCTAACACTCTCTATTCAGAAGCTACAGGGCTAAGTGCAGACTACGTGAGCGCTGAAACAAATTTGATCTTCTCTTCGTCTGTCAACAAGGCGTGCATTACCATCGACATCCTTGACAATATTCAGGTGGAGCATCTCGAATAATCGTTCCACGTGACTCTGGAACGATTACCAAATACACCTGATGGGGTAATCCTGCGGCGCAATAAGGTTGAGGTGATCATCGTTGATGATGATGGTAAGTCCCTTCCAAAGCGTGTTTGAGCATTTTTGCAACTTTCTGTCTTTAAAAAGGATAGCTTTCACACAAGGGTCTTTGCAAAACCCTACGCAGGTCTATATATGCATACGTAAATTATGTGCGGAGTCACTGCTGGAGCAACCCCATGCATGTATTACACTACCACGCTGTCCTTGGCATGGCCTTCTCCCTTTACTTGATAGCTCTCTATCATAGCTTCAGGCAACGCTCTCTATGCACAACTATGATAGTGAACGAACCACAGCATTAGATAATAGCCATGTTTGCAGCAGATGTGTGAATCCTAATTTCAGCCAGAAAACTAAAAAAATTGTGGTTTGTGCAGAAAAAATCTTTACCTGTTGTATTAATTTCACTTTCAGTGGCTGAGCTGGGCTTGGTGATGTTGGCCTACACAGTCAGAGAGGAAGACGATGAGGAAGTTCAAATTTGTGTGGAGGTCAAGAGTCCAGATACCATTGAATGCCCTGTGGTGTATCCACTTGAGTTCATCGTTACAGTCACTGATATAAGTGCAAGTATGTATAAACAGCAGTACTGGGACACATAACAATGTACCCTCTCTCTCGTATGTAGCTGAAGGTGAAGACTATGAAGACCCAGTCTACGATGAGGACAACCCATTCCGATATGATGCTTGTGCTCGAGAAAGCTGCTTCTCAATCGAAATCAAGAACGACGATGTAGTAGAGGATATGACTGAACAGTTCGATGTGACTTTGGAGTTTAGCGGTGGGGGAGCCACAGTTGTTACATTTCAGCAGGATATGGCAACAGTCACCATCATTGATGAAGACTAAAAGTTTTCTCCGTTGTCTAGGGAGCATCACTCATGTTACATAATAGCAATGTGATGAAATTGTCAGTGACAGAAGGTTATTTGTTGCTAATCCCAGCATTCAGCAGTCCAATTATCAAGATTGCACGAGGAAGACGGTGGCGTGGGATAGGTTTTGTGGTCTTGATTATAATATAGACTTCAGCGCCATCTTTATGTTTGACTTTGTGAGTCTCAGTATAATGGCTGGAGCCACTGAAATGCCGCCCAAGGTGGCCGCCAAGACACAGCGAAAGGGCGCCATCTGGGTCTAGCATCCAAGATGCTTGCAGTATCTGCTACCAGAAAATCGGCCCAAAAGATGATGTCCTATTTTGCTCCGGCACCTGCCAGAAGCACCTAGCTACGCCGTTAATTAATGCGCTGGTGTTAGTGAGCTATAATTATACAAGACGCTGACGTCCGACGCTCCTCCGTTCCTCTGCTTCTGCTGTTACAGGACGAAAAAGGATGAAGAGATTGCCAAGCTCCAAAGTATCGTCGAGCTCCTCCCGAATGAAATGAAAAGCACTGAAGTGCAAACCCTCGGCGAACTGCGCATGAGCGGTATCGCTAATGGTTGGGCTGGGCTATAAGCGTTTACCCGTGGTCTCCCGCTAGTAGCTCGCGGAGAATCTGACACGGGCTAGCTACGGTAGTAGATAGCATGCGGGAGTCGATACACGCCCTTCGCTGTGGCTTCTTGTGCCTCCAAGGTACACAGAGCAAGCAGATCAGGTGCCAGCATGCATGCATACTATACCGCGTCTATACGCATGCGCACTGCTTAATGATGGGTTGGGCCACGGAACTGGGTCCGCGACCGTGCCAGTTTGTCGCTCTCGAACGCAGCCGTTTCAGGAAAATCGGCTAATTTTTTTCAGGTTCGCGTAGTTCTGAAACCGCTGGTATCGCTCATTAGCCACCTCGTGGCCTGTAGTGCCAGAATAAGCGTCGACACACACACACAGACAAACCACTACCGTACTGCGCATGCGCGCCGAGGGTTATCAGCTAGCTCTCTAAAGAGAAGCAAGCAGAACAATGGCAATGGCCGTCTCTAACGTCTGGCGCGGGGCAACCAAACTGCCGTCCTTCCACCGAATCTGGTGAGCCTATTTCTCGCTCCGTACCTAATACCACTCAAGCCTGTGTCCAATGCCTCCTACGATCATGATAGTACTATAATGGTCCTTTGTGGTGTGGAGGAATGGCATTCTGGGATGTCTAGATCAGCCCGTCTTGAATCCGACCTTACCAGTGTTATAAGCGTCTTTTCTGCCTTAGAAAGTTCAATTCAGTCCCAGTCAGTGAGGGACTGTTACACACTGGGAAAGTTTTCCCTTAATGCGTCTCACCCCAGGCCTATTCTGGTAAAGTTTGTTCGACACCAGATGTATCTAAGATCTTCACAAAAAGAAGGCACCTGTCCACCACCCCTTTTTTATGCTTTCAACAGTCATAAATCTGCATGCAAGAAAGGTGGAACCTGATTCAGTCAGGTGTTAGTCGGAAAAGCATTCGCATTAACTCTTTGTACGTCAGCAACAAATTGCACGGCCGTGTCTCTAAATCTAAATTTGAGCATGCATCTGACACCCCTGATTTGAGTCAACCAGACAGCCCTAGGCCTACTTCACCTATCGTTCACCACGACCCTCAGCCTCTTCATGTTCACACTTCTCCTTCTGACGAGCCAGCTATATCTCTTGTAAGCAACACTTGTCTACTAGTAGTGTTGACACCAGGGCTACCACGACTACATCACCTCCTTTCACCCCTGCTACAAACCTCGTGGTGGCGGTGTGTTGATAGCTGTAAGAGAATCTCTTTTTATTCCCTCCCCACATGATTTAGAAATTGTCTCTGTCAAACTAGGTCATGGTAATGATTGTGTTATTTGTTGTGTTTATATACCTCCAGAATGTTCCTTTTCTTATGTCTCTTCTGTTGTTCAATTTCTCACTGTTCTCACTTCCAAATGTGTTATTATAGTTGTAATGAACCTGATAGATTGGTCAGTTCTAATGGGCACTTCAAATTCATCTAATAGTTTTTGGAACTTTGTTTTTTATTGTAATCTTACCCAACATGTTTCAGAGCCCACTCATGTTAAAGGTAATCTTTTTGATCTGGTTCTCACTTCAGCAAGTGTTGATGTAAATCGTTTAACAGTGTATCCTATGTCTGTCGTAGACTTCTCTGATCACCATGCTATTGAGTTTTGTTGTAATGTATCTTCTGTACCTAAGTGCAAACCAGGTTATGTGTATATATGATTTTTGTAATGCTGATTACGAGAGCATTTCTTCTCTTTTACTATAATATTCAGATTTCAGTGCTGTGTTTGATTGTACCAATATTGAGTATATTTGGTTTTTTATAAAGTCACTGATTTGTAAGGCGTTCTCACCCGACGATCCCATTATCAGTTGATCTCTTCTAGGGCCTACAAAATGTTAGGTCTTCTACGGAGAGTTTTCTCCAGCTCTGTGTCGGTACCAGCCAAACCCTCTTTGTATATTTCTCTTGTTCGTTCCCAGCTTCTTTACTGTTCTTCTGTATGGCACCCATACCTTTTAGTGGATATACAATATCTCGAGTATGTCCAGAGAAGGGCGACCAAATTCATCGTCAGCAACCCTCTCTTGGACTACAGGAATCGACTAATAATATACCTTAATCTGTTGCCCCTGATGATGGAGTTAGAAATTGTTGACATTATGTTTCTGGTCAAGTCTGTAAGTTTCCATCCGGCCATTTCAATATACACGAGTTTGTCCAGTTATGTAGTCATTCTACCAGAGCTGCCCATGGTTACAAGCTGAAACACCCCCTCGGTAGAAGTAACTATGAAAGGAACTTTTATTTCAATCGGATTCCTCGTCTATGGAACTCCTTACATTTCTTCGATATAACTCTTTCTCCTTCTGCAATAAAATCCAAGTTACGAGCATATTTCTGGGATCATTTCATGTCCAAATTCGATTCAAACAATGTGTGCTCATATCACTATCTGTGTCCATGCCCCAAGTGTTCTTAATTACCAGTCAAAATGCATTTTAATGTTAGTTTGCAATATTTTGCGTTTGTTGTGTTGTTTTATATAGCTGCTGGCTTATGCCTTCAGTCCATCAGCACAGTCTATGTACTTCACCTTTTTTGTTCTTCACTTCTTGTTTTCCACCACCTGTGTTGTAAAGCATAATAATAATAATAATAATAAACATGTATAACTATACACAGTTTGGAGCTGGGAGTCATTCTTATATACATGCTGAGTGAACAGAGTGGTTTGAGGTTTGCCCCTGTCTTGTGTTGTATTGTTTGTAGATTTGAAATCCTACCTTCTGAGATGCCCTGAGCTTGTAGAGCGCTCACCTAGAGTGCAGAGTGTTTTCTGTTCTAATCCATTAACCTAGAGCAGCTCTTTTTTACTTGGAAAAGTCGTCCTGGGTGACATTGTGTTGCCTTTGCCTTGAGATCTCTTTGATTTACCCCATCCATACATCCCGTACCAGTGCTTATGCACTTACATAGCTCAAGTACTTATGTCCTCGCCGGCTTTGTACCACCTGTCATGTATTAAAGTGGTGGCGGCTCCTATGTAACCCACCATCCTCTGAAGAAGGTCACCACCCATCAGAGAAAGTTCTTGCTAGGAAAGTAACTGACTGGTGAACTATAGCTATACCTTGACAATGATCCGACTGTCAAGTACCACTGCACCTCTTCCTCAACAGTGATCTAAGAGACTGCAAGGCTATCACCGAAGTCCAACCTATCGGCAGAAGTGTTTGGGAGTGTTGCCTCACCCTCTCAGGGGGCAAGTAATCCACCCCATCCCTACATCTTGTGCCAGGGCTTACACGCTTACATTACCCATCCCACATCTTGGCAAAGCAGGGGAAGATTTTAGAGGGTAAATTCTCTAAAATCTATAACTTCAACTTTCATTTTGTTCATATCCCGTATATGAGCAGTAACATGCCTTGTGGGCCTTCCTATGGAGTTTGCATATCCCAATTGGTAAAAATAGGACGAATTTGCAGTAGTTATGAGGAAGTAAAGAGAGGAATATGTTGCAATTGATTACAACTAGACTGATTTGACAGGTCTTTTTATACAATAAACTTGTTAAGAGCTTCAAGAAGTTTTATATCCACTTGATGGACAAATAGATGCATGTTAGTCTAAAGAGACACATTTCTGATGGTACTATGTGGGTTAGCTATATGTTTGTCATCCTTCCTTGTACAAACGGGGCACTATAATATACAACGACCACTGTTGTGAAACTTGTGTAGCCCTGGATTTTCTATACGTTCGGCTTCCTGGAGGTTCTCTCCGTTATATTGCTCACTCAGTTTTCCTTGTTGCCATTCGTATTCTTCAAGCTTCGATGCAGCGTATCAGGTCCTCCGCTATTGAGGTGCATTTTTATTGTTTTGTATGTGTTTCTCCTTGGGCAGCATTACTATGAGATAGGCCTGGGTGTGCTTTAGGGTAGAGTTGTGGTAAAAGATCTCTTTAACCCACCGTCCCTGGTTCTCAAGGCCAGGGCACCCATTATGCCTTGGTCATGTTAGCTAACCTTTCAAATGATGCTGCCCTAAACTTTATTATTCTATTACTTATTCTATGAATGTGAAATATTTTTTAATCTTTCTTATAAATCTATTTTTGATACCTTTTATACCACGGATTTGTTTCAATGATGATGTCCTCCTTTTTGATACAATAATATTGTTTTTGTCGCATGTTATGTATAATGCGTCACTACCATCGTGCACCGCGGCTTGTGCAGTATTAGTCCTGCATTAGTAAGCCCATGTAATTGTACGAGATCCTTACAGCCCTCCTTTCTCTTTCTTATTTCTTTCTTAACAGGCGTGAGCTGTTCAATTCACATGCACTTTGAATAAGCAAAGATGTACGGATGGGGTTATGACTTTCTGTCTAGGTATATCTTTACGTTCTCCTTCTTCTTAATGGAGGGTAACATCCCTACACTCTCTTTAATTTCCACTTGTTCCATTTTAAGATAAATTTACCACCACATGTTCAACATTGGTATCGTGTGCTAAAGTATATAGTCTGGGCAGAGTGTTCTTGGTTCAAGTCGCACAATGCATTGTCTGTTGGTGAATAGCATTTGCCTTGTTTTGCACCCCTTATTTATGACTTTATGCAAACTTACATGTACCTGTGTATGCTATGCCAGGTGTATGCCCAACAGTCATCCGTAACAACACAACTAGCATAGCTACACAAGTGCATGAAAGTTTTCAACAAAGACATTAATTCCCCAATGTGGACTTATGCAAAAACATCTCGGGTGGGAAAGGAATGGTTTTATGACTTGTTTTAATCCAGCTTCAAGAGTTTCCGGAAGTTAAGTATATTGAAGAGGAGACAGTAGCCGTAGCAGCCGAAACCTCCATTCCCTACCATCTAGACCGAGTCGACCAGAGAGAACTCCCACTCGACAACAACTTCCATCCAATCGGTGACGGAGAAGGAGTTGATATCTACATTCTGGACACTGGGATACTCTATGAGCATGAAGAGTTTGGGAACCGTGCCAAATTTGGTGGTTACGACCCAATGGATGAGTATAGGGAAGAGAATATGGAAGGCCGGGACTGTCACGGTCATGGCACACACGTGGCTAGCAATGCTGCAGGGAGGGATTATGGTACTGCAAGTGGAGCAATCATATACAGTATCCGTGCACTAGGCTGCAGTGGCTCTGGGGCTTGGAGTGTTATCATTGCGGGGTTGGACTATGCCATGAGGATTATCCCTGTTCGAGGCCGCCCTGCAGTAGTGTCCGTGTCCATAATTGGCTCTTACACTCAGTCTGTCAATGATGCTGTCCAGAACCTCACAAAAATTGGAATCCCTGTGGTAGTATGTGCAGGGAACGATGCTAGAGATGCCTGTCTTCAGAGTCCTGCCAGTACTCCAGACGCTATAACAGTTGCTGGCAGTGCAGACGGTGATGAACTCTACCCCAACACAAACTATGGTCCCTGTGTTGATATTTTCGCTCCTGGTCATATTGTTAAGGGAGCTCACTATCGCTGTAGGGACTGCTATATCTTTACAGTGGGACATCTTTTGCTACTCCAATAGTTAGTGGAGCTATTGCAATCATGCTACAAAGACAGCCCAAGCTGACCCCTGACCAAATACGCCACCAGCTGATCTCTTTCTCCACTAATGATACCCTCAACTTTGATATTATCCCCGTCGAATTTAACTCCTCCACTCCAAACCGGCTTCTCTACATTCCTGGTTAGCCAGTAGTTTCTGTTGTACACTTAATCTGATTTTCTATAATTATAGGATCATGTGGTGGGGAAATATATATTGAAGTGGAGTCCGTTGTAACAATTGAGTCTCCAAACTACCCTCTCGGTTACTTTGAGAACATTAAGTGCCAGTGGTTTATCACTGGTCCTCCCGACACTTACGTTAGGATCTCCTTCTCCTCCTTCTCAACCGAGTCCTTTCATGACACAGTGGAACTGTATGATGGGGACCCTTGTGACCCCAACACTGCACAACTGGCCACTCTCAGTGGACAGAAGGAAGACCTCCCCTATATGAAGTGTGATAGCCTTTCAAACACCCTCTTTGTGGAGCTGAACACAGATGGTACTATCAGTAACGCTGGATTCAAAGCCAACATCATAGCCACTTCAGTACGGGAGAATCAAAGTAGTTATAATCAACGTTTAAGTGTGAGGGATTTTGTATCTTTGTGATCCACAGCTGTGGTAGTGGGACTTGAAAAATCAACTTACATCGTAAATGAGGATGCAGTAGCTTTGAAGTATGTGTAGTGTTTTCTAATCTACATACCTGCTGTCCTGTGACCAAAGACTTCACACTGGGATTCACAGTCTCACCAGTGAATGAAAGTAAGTCAGTAGTTCCTAGCTGATAGATCTGTTGTATTTCTAACCATGAAACTAGCTATTACCGTAGCTAATTATAAGTAAGTCGGAGCGAGCCAACCTACTCATGCAGCTGGCATGATCAAATCTTGCCAGCCGATGCTTACTAGAGGAATGCAATGCGTTGTTGGCGAGTGGGTGCGAGCAGTTTAATGTTTTACCCTTGGTGGCTGTTGGTGAGTTTGCATCAGATAGAACATGTGGCAGAGCTGGATAGAAAGAAATGGAAAATCGGCCCATTGGCACAACTAGGTAGGCTCGCTTCGCTCGCCATTAAGAACACACCACCACAAAGGATACATAACTCATATTACGAGCTAGAATAGTCTTGTCATTTTGACATGCCTGGTTACTGTGCAGAATAGTCCAAAACAAGGTTTGGTGAGATATCTTATGCTGCTAAAGTTCAAGATCAGCGGAGACTAGCGTATGCGGAAAAGAGCATGCAGAAAAGCGGAGCGTGTATCGCCTTCTTCAAAGGTATAAACATGATTGTTCCTTCACCATTAATGGTAAGCCTACAGAATAATTATACAGAACTGCTGACTGAGCATAGGAACGGTGAAGACAGAGATTCGGTTTAAAAAGTCAGCTACAGTGCTCCCGCTCACCACCACATTGAAATGGATCCTACTCATCGCCACATTAAAACATGTATTGCTAGATGTTAATGAATCAAAGGGCTCAGAGAGGAAATAAAAGATTGTCACTTTGCTATGATGCAGCGTCTTACTGATATTTCACTTGGGATACCTTATATATAGGTTACACTATGCCCACGAGACGGTTTAGTGGACATACACTACGAGTGCGCAGTACGAGTAGTGTATGCACTAAACCGTCGAGTGGGTGTAGTGTAACCAATTTGTACCACAGGAATGCGCACTAAGACAACTTATTAGTATGCATGCCATGGTGTATGAGAGCTCATACACCACATGTGAGTGTATGGCTGAGTCAGCACACCATACACCATGGCATGCAACTAATGAGTTGTCTTAGTGCGCATACACTGCGTGCGGTGCCTCTGATTTCTAGGGCTTCTGCGGTACAAAACTACTTACCTGAAGGTTACTATTAACTGCGGGTACTAATTTTAGCGAACTTGGCGGGAATAAGCAAAACCGCTAAATTATATGCTCGCTAATAATTGTTCCGCAATGAAAATTCGCTTAAATAGAACTAAAATGTTAGACAAAAAATCTTCATCGGAAGAGCCTGAGTCATCTTCATTGCCCTCTTTCTACTGGCGCGTGGTTAGCTACCTCGAATCAGCGTTTAACTATTTTAGAGTGAGCGCTTCACGTTGAGCGCTCTGGCTTTCCTGTTCGTTCGTATGGCGGAGCGCTTCTAACGATAACTCGATGGAGACCGGCTCAGAGCGCCAGAAAATGCAGTGCAAGAAGAGCGAAGCGGCAGAGACACGCGGTAGCGACTCCGCCTTCTATTTCTGGTTGTGCGCGTGACGGTGCGCGCTGGGGGGTCTGCGCGTGCGCGTGGACGACGCGTCAATGTAGATTCAGTTGTTGATCTTGTTGATTACATGTACATTGTGCCCTGGGGGTAGCGCCCTCTACCGCTGCGCTCGGTGTTGCCACAATGCCGGAGCTCTCGGTTTTCTACTGCGCGTAGTTACCTCGAATCAGCGTCTAACTATTATTCAGTAATCCACTTGTACTCTCATGGTTTCTTAATACCAGGTGAGATGTGTATTGATTAGAGGAAGAGGGATACGTATTAATGCATGTATTAGGTAATTTGACATCTTTGATTTGTGCAACTTCAGACTAAAACACATAGGCATTGGGCTTGCTTGCTAGTCACTGGGTGAGATCATTATCAATTGTCATCATCATACATTATTGTATTTTTATTACATTATGGAGACACAAATCGCTGAAATTAGTATACGCCAAAAACACTCAGTGCAAAAACGCTAAAATTAGTGCCCGCAATAGTAACCTTAAGGTACACCCTGCCCATCCCTCTCACTAGCTGTAGGAATTGACTAAGTCTCTGATTATGCAGATGGGACAATAGAGTTTGGTACTTGTGAAGAGAGAGTCTGCTTGCCTTTTCCAATTGAGAACGATGATCTCCTTGAGGAAGATAAGTCCTATTTTCTCAGTCTTGTAGACTATACCTTCGATGAAACCATTGTCATTGGTACTGAATCTGCCAGTATTACAGTTGTGGATGATGACGGTCAGTTTGACAATGTGATTTAGCTATCCCAATTGTTGAGTTTTTTTCCTTGCAGGGGTTTATGTGGACTTTACGGAATCAGAGTACTTGGTGGAAGAAGGATTCCAAGCAAGAGTGTGTGCTCGGCTGAGTAGTTTAAATTATGATTGTCCTGTTTCTTTCCCGTTCTCTGTTGTTATTAACACTGAGAATGGAACAGGTAATTATAATTATTATAATGGGCATGATAGCTATAATAGTAATTATTATTATGCTCAGCTGTGTCACCTGATGATTACGAGGCCGTGTCTAATTGGAATGTGGGGTTTTCTCCTTGCTCCATGGAAACCTGCATTGATATTACAACTCACAATGATCCTCTGGTGGAAGGAGATGAAGAGTTTTACATAGAACTCTCCAGTGGCCCAGACCTTCACAGGGGGATCAACATTGTAAAAAGTAGTGCTCTGGTGACCATTGTTGATGATGATGGTGAGTGGTACAAAATGATTTCTTTGTTGGCAGCTATTATATGTACTTTTACACTTCTTAGTTGCCAGGGTAAGTTTCAAACATCAAACATATGAAGTTCATGAAAGTGAAGGGAGTGTTCGAGTGTGTGCTGTGGTGCGTAGTCCACACCCAGTTGCGGCAGACTGTCCACTGGACTTCAGCTTTGGTGTTGGAATTGTAACTTCTGCTGGAACTGCAGGTAACACAAAAATGACTTGCACTACAAAAACATTTAGTGTCAGTGATTCTCCTGCAGTTGTAGATTCAGACTATGAGTCTCAACCTATAATACTACAGTTTGAGTCATGTGTCGAGGAAGTGTGTGCAAACATAAGAATCTTAGACGATAGCATTATGGAGTCACTGGTTGAAGATTTCATAGTGTCTCTGGAGCCGTTCAGGACTGATATCCGGGTCAGACTTAGTCCCCAGCCCAGCACTGTTGAAATCATTGATAATGACGGTAAGTGTACTTAAAATAGTTGTTAAACTTTTTGATAGCGTTTTTTTCTTCAAAAAGGTGTGATGATCGATATGGAACGGAGTTCTTATCGAGTTTGCGAGGGAGGAGCTGATGTGACAGCATGTGTGAGGATGGTTGGTCAAAGCAGTATCTAAAACACGCTGTACTTCTCAACTGTAACAGGCAGTGCAGGCAATATTTTGTACCCACAGATAGAGTTACACTTGACCCCTATGGCATTTTGTGGTTACATGTTCTCCTTCAGACTTCTCTCCTATCTTTGAGCTCCTAACATTTGAACCATACTCCTCCCGAATGTGCATCACCATTGACATTGTGGATGATGCTGCTGTAGAGAACACAGAGTCTTTCACTGTAAGTCTAAGCGAAACTGGTGGACTTGACAGTAGAGTTCAGCTGAGACAACCAACTTCAACCATTGAGATTACTGATGATGACACTGGTATGGAATTTTTGTAACATTAATACACATTATTATGCATTTCATACATATTATATACCTGAAGGAGCTACAGTGGAATTAGTAACTGGTTCATCGAGTGCAACAGAGGGTCATATTGTGAGCTTTTGTGCTGTCGTTAAAACAAATGGCATTGGATGTGCTGTTGGATTTGATTTCAGTATTTCTCTCTCTTTTCAGGGATCAGCCGGTATTGTCTTCAACCTTTTGTGCTATACTCTATTATGGTTACATCTTCATTTAATAGTGGAAAGGTCTCCAGATCATGGGAGTAGCACCATGCTGGATTCGGACAAAATGAGTGGCTTCATTGAGATTCGTTAAAGTTACTCAGTAGAAGCAAACCTTGAATATTACAGAGAGATTTAGGCTGAATGTGTTACATAATTCTTACTGTGGAATGTTTTAGCTAGATATCAATTAATGGAGTCAACCCCAACCAACAAATTTCAAGAAACTTTAACTTAGCTACTTATAGAAATGGTAGCTGCAGCTGCATGTAGCAAATGAGGTATTATTACACTTCCTTTTTAGCGGACAATCTGAATAGTAGCTCAGGAGGACTATGATGACATCACTTACAAACCAGCGTGGGAGCCTCACGAAGCCAAGCTTTCTCAAGGTAGATCGACGTCTTCTTCTCTAGCGCTTGCTGGGAGTCTGTATAGCTCTGGCTAGCTACACTACAGATAACATGCGGGACTCCCTCCGAATTGGTTATTTTATAGTTTGTTTTGAATACTCGAGCTAATTAGTACGCCAATCAATTGCGTACAAAACCATACAGACTTGGCTAGTTATCATGCGTTAATATATATGAATTATGATCGAGCCAGTGGCGTTTGCCGTCAGGCGCCAACACCAGACTGAAGGGGGAACAAAGAAAGAAACAAGCCATCACTCCATAGAACAAACTAAACATGCCACAATCTCTATAATCTGTGTTTTTTCTATGAGTGTATGTAGCAACGACGCACACAAAACTACGGTCTGGCGCAACAACCATCTGAGGGCGTCCTGAGCATCGTTCGACTACCGACGCTCCTGAGCATCGTTCGACATGTTACTTTTAGAGCGTCGGTAGACTATCTCACGTGATCCTCGTACAGAACTCGGCGAGAATGACTCTCAAAAATCATAAGAGGTCGGCGAAAAGACTCCGTCAAGAGCACGCGCGTAAATGCATGCGCGGGAGCGTTCACGAGCGTGGCTTATATTGTGTGAAGGGTCTGGGGCACCAGACTAAGTCCAGTGCCTCCAAGTATACGGATTTTCCCGTATTTTGACGGAAATCGCACTCCATAGACGGGAAAGAAACGGAACACAAGAGTGCTCAAGAAGGTATTATATACGACAAACTGGCAGTATATACGGGTAAGTATATAGAGCAAGCCACCGATAATCGGACGCCATGTATTCTCGGACGCATTTGTGAAGTCTGTGCAGGACTAGATTGGCTACTGTGTATACCAAAGTGTAGTTCTTGGTCATAAACTGTTGTATAAAAATATTTCCGTTGTTGTATTTTTTGTAATTACCAATAATTATATTTTTGTAATTACCAATAAAAATTCAGATCTCCAAAAACGGAAATCCTGCTGCAGGCATCTAATATAAGGCAAGAAGAACTAGGAGAAAATTTCATAGCTTCATCCGGCGCGTGTGAACAAGCCGAAAACTGCTTTTCGCGTAAAAACGCGGCTTACGCGACCCCGCCTATTTGCGCTTTCGTGAGCAAAAATAGCGAAGACAAAAAAGGGCCATTTGTGGGTCGCTGCATAGCCAAAAGGTACAGCTATCAATCGAGCATACACTCGCTTGGATCATTCATACTGTTCCCGTTTTGGGAGTCTGTCCTACCTTTGATGGCCTTGTCCGAACTTTGCTGTGCCCGAATCGTAACTTTACGGCAACGTCATTCCCACGGTAAAGCTCGGATAAGAGCGAATATTTTTACACAACAGTTTATGACCAAGAACTACACTTTAGTATACACAGTAGCCAATCTAGTCCTGCACAGACTTCACAAATGCGTCCGAGAATACATGGCGTCCGATTATCGGTGGCTTACTCTATATAGTAATCGATCGGGAGAGACACAGCTGCAATAAGCACTTTAGTTTAGTCAAGCTAGGCGGTTGTGCAGAAGCCATGGTCATTTCTCGAGAGTTCAACGTTACAGGTGCGTCAAAGCTATACTTTTTCGCTGCTAGACTCTAGACTCCACACGAGTTTTGTAGCCGTGCCGTTCTGGCTCGCTTTCTCTCCCGCGCACTCTCGAATGCAGCCTGTTGCAGTAGCAAGAAAGCTGAAAGTCACCGAATACTTTTCCCGTCCACGGGAGCCTATGCGACGGGAAGCAGCTTTGCGCTAGTTTTCAGACCGCGTGATATACTAGAGCAGTTTCTGGCATCTTACTATATAGCCTTCTCGAAACAGCAGCACACAAAGAGTGTGAAAAGCCCCCAATTGCTTTCCACGCTGTCAATTTCCTAACCTCTGTAGACCCACTGTGGTTTATGCTAAAGTATGGTATGGCCTCTTTATGAACTGTGCATATCGATAACTTTCAGCCTGAAGACAGGAGAAGCCGGGTGAGTGTGGACGGTAGAGAGAGCAACGTGAAGATCATAGATGAACAAAGTAAGTCTGTTATTCCAGAGCCGTTGTCCTATTAGTTACGATGATAATGATACACTTCCATCTAGCTATCTATGTGAGCCTGGATGGGCCAAGGATTATGTTTGAGGGTGCAGGAACAGTGGAGATATGTGTCATTATTCATGATGATGAAGAGGGAAGGCCCTGCAGTCGAGATACAGATTTCGACATTACATTATTTACAGTATTCGACAGCGCAGGTGAGATACATTATGATTCTCAGTTTAGTTAAAGGAGTTTTTTCTGATGGGGAAGACTTTGTGGCTGTAGATGGCCTTCAGATGACATTCCAGGCATTCCAGAACAGGGTTTGCACCAGTGTTACCGTCAATGATGACGAAATGCTGGAGCAGACAGAGTCGTTCATTGCAAGAATAAACATCACCCATCCTCACAGTCACATTTCACTGGGCGTTTCATCAGTGGAGATCACGATAGTTAACGACGATGGTGAGTAGATGCAACTACTAGCCAGACAAGTTATCACAAACTGCTGGTATTGTTAGTCTTTGGGCATGGTGGTGATGCATCAACATTCATCACACAGTTTGTTTCCATTGTAGAGGCCACTGTGGGACTGGAGAATACGACATATACTGTGATGGAAAATGAGTTGAAACTCTATGTGTGTGTGGTAGTGCATGGTCCTCTCATTGGCTGTCCTATTTTCTTCCCCTTTGAGTTGCTGTTTGTCCCAACTCTGGCCACTGCATGTACGCTCTTAAACTAGAGTATGTTCTAGTACACACCTCTTTCTCTCTCCATCTAGTCCAAGGAAGTGATTATAGGGTGAGAGACCCAACTCTGTGGTTTGGTGCGTGCGCTATGAGGCAATGTCTGACGGTAGACATAATTGATAATAATCTCATTGAAGACGCTGAAACCTTTACCCTCACCCTAAAACACCCGCCTAGAGGAAGCACAGATGATATCGTGCTAGACCCTACAGTGGCTACTGTTACCATCGAAGACGAAGATGGTACGTTTGTTGGTACTATTTACCTCACTTTTACACTTTCATTGAACTTTCTCTGTTCTTGTCTTTGCAGCGGCGATTGTCACTTTTGATAGAACGGAGTACAGTGTCCAGGAAACAAGTGGTAGTCTAGCAATCTGTGCAAGAGTGGTCAGCCCTGCAGTGTCTTGTCCAGTTGCTACACCCTTCTCCCTGACTTACTCGTTTCCGATGGAACTGCCTGTAATGACTACTGTATCTGTGTGCTCACTTTTTCATCTTGCATACTATCACCCCTCCAGTCAACAATTCCGACTATGAGGCTTACAGAATACAAACAATAGGGTTTGCCCGTTGCAGTAGAAGTGCGTGTGCTCCCCGTCGTATTACCTTTGTTAACGATCGCAATAAAGTGGAGGTTGAGGAAGTGGAGTCATTTCACCTCTTCCTAACCAGCAATTTCCCTCTTGTCAGACCTGATCCCTACACTGCGGAAGTCATCATCCATGATGATTCAGAAAGTGAGTTAGCACTAATAGATTCCACCTGGGCTATACCTTTTTGCGCATGAAAATGAAATCTATTGTGCATGTAGTAAACTATGGTGAATATGGAACCCTCTGTTCACTAGACAGCTTTTTTGTCACATTTTGCCTCGTTTTCTCAAATATTTATAGTTCTCAGTCGTTATGTGACCCAATGTCCTATGTAGGGGCTTATATCCGACTGGAGCAAAGGGCATTTTCAGTGACAGAAGGAGTGAACGAGACAGTGAGAATATGTGCAGAGATTTACGACCCCACACCAGACCGGAGCTCCTGTCCAGCTGTCTTTGACTTGAAATAAATCTATCAGTTGATAGGGGTAAGATGTCTGTCATTATACTAACTATATACTAACTTTTTACCAATAACAGAGGACTTCCCAATGGCATTC